TATACAGTATACACACATTTTACTATCTAAATTGTTGCAGCAACCACATTTTTTTTCAGTGTATGAGTGTCATAAATCTTTAGATTACCGAGGCAATTGATCACTATTTATCTTTTCTGTCCAGTATGGAATACCTTCAACTATTACCGCTTGCCGTTGTTTATTATTAGCTATCATTATATATTTCCTTAATATTATCATTATTACTCACTTCAAAATTATTGCTATTATTGATACTGTTATTTATATATTTATTACTGCTGTTATATTGCTATTGTAATTATAATTGTAATTATAATTTTATTATTAATATATAATTATTATATTGTTAACATATAATAACTACTTAATAAACACCAACTAACACTAATATAATATCAATGTTATAATTTCACAGTATAATATAAATGCAATATAACACATATTGTATAACATTTATACTGTAAAATTATAACATTAATGTTATATTATTACTAATTGGTGTTTACTGGATAATAAATATGACAGCGGTCAACGATCGTAAACAAACTTCCTTAGTTTATGTACGGTAACTTTTATTAGCTTCTTCGCATTAACTACTAACACTGTTCAACAATAAAAAATCCTCTCTGAAGTGTAATAGAAGATTTCGTGAAGATTTTTTCATGCTGAACATGGATGATGTTGGTATACTTGACATAGCACATCAAAATTTGAGCAAATTGAGATGAAATAAAAAAACTGGCATTTTGGCCAACATTTAACATTTTTACAAAACAAAAATTTGTTTCTAAAATCTATATTTTAAAATATAATACAAGAACTTTCAAATGAATTTTAATTCATGATCGTACTACTTTTTATCAAATTATATTGGAAATTAAATTTTGTGTGTAATACACACACAGTTAACAAAAAAATCACTTTTTTTTTCTTCAAAGTGCCATAAATAAATTCTGATACGCTATGTAAAGTCGGACAACAGCTTCATGTTCAGTCCAAAAAAATCTTCAGATTATGTATGGCATTTTGAAGAGAAAAAAGTGATTTTTTGTTAACTGTATAATTATACACAAAATTTAAATTCGAATTTGATGATAAACAATCACTTGATGAAAATAAGTCATAAATTAAAATGTATTTAAAAACTCTTGAATTATACTTTTAAATGTAAACATTATTATATATTTAAGACAGCTTTGTAAAAAAAATATTAAAAATGCTTTTTTTATTTTGCTTCAATTTTATTTCAATTTAATGAAAAATTGACGTACATCAACTCTACCAATGCCATTAGTCAGCTTGAAAAAAATCTTCGCAAAATGTACTATTACATTTCGAAAAGAAAAAGAAGTGCTTTTTTGTCGAACAGTGTAATCGTAAACATTGACTATATATAATTAACGACGCAAAAAAGGAATTTGTTTATATCCTCTCCACGAAGGAGATGACATCCTTCTCATGAAGGAAAATCGGAAACCGATGTTGTCATCGTTACTAAATGAAATAAGAAGCGCAACCTTGGACCAACTCCAAACCGTTAAAATGCCATTTCCATCTGCCAAGTGTGAATAGAATTATAATGCGAACGCGAATAATAACGTATTGTATGAAAAGCGAAGCTCCTTTTAGATTGTTCGCAGGATTATAGATAGATAATAATTACATATGTATTATAATTCTTTTGAATACTCTTGATTCTGCGATATGGATGCGTATAGAACTATTTCAGCCACGTATATGAAAATATGTCTTAAATCAATTTTCAAAATATACATTGTTACAACCATTTCATTGGTAGAATTATTTTCTCGAGTAGCAAGATGATGTTTTAAGGACATTTTATTCATGTTAAAGATGTCATTAAGATATTATTAGAGATGTCATTTTTTGACATCACCTCGCTACTTGGATTATTATTAATTGTTGACATGCTATTGCAAAACTCATTAATTAAGATTTATGCATCGCGAGTAACTGTAACATAATTAAAAAGTAATGAATATATATTGTTTCTTAATCATGTAAGAGATTAAATTATTCGTACATTTTGTAAATTTCGAAAAAAAATATCCGTCACGCGTAATATATAAATCTAGAATGTAAGACAAAAATTAAATAAGAAGATATGTAAATCAAAAATTACAATTTTTATTAGCACAAACGTAGTAAATAAATTAAACGACGATATCACAATAGTATATAATATAGTTGTAATTTTTTTACAACGTGCGTTTTTTGTAACGCGATTCGTCTATAATATATATTAGATGCGCAACTAAGTTCTCGCTGTTATTTTGATGCATTTTCATCAAAATAACAGCGAGAACTTAGTTGCGCACCTAATACTATAAAGAATTTTTTGGGAAAGTTAATAAAAAATCGGCTAAAAGTTTTTAAATTAGTTTTAATATGTAAAAAAATATGAAAATAATTATTATTTTTAGATACTTTTTGATTATGCCAGCGTTCTATGCAATTTTATTATGCAAGTCATACATTTATAAATCATTTTATTTCTCAACTCACTATAGGCATACACATATGTATGTATTATCATGATAAGACCGTACATATATATATTACTTAAGCATCTGCAGAAATTTATAGATGATTAAATATATTTGTATATCAATTTATTTTGAAAGATGAAAGCTAACAAAAAAGAGGTACAAAAAACAAATATGTTTTTAAATATAAAATATCATCATCGAGACAGCGCACTTTTGTCTCGACGAATTCTTCTATAAGCTCGAGATCATAAATTTTGATATAATTGCCCAGTCAGAAACGACAATGGAATCGACATCAAATCGACGTTGAAATCATCAAATTCGACGTCAAACTCATCAAACATCGATTCGATATCGATTCTATTGTTATGTTGTTGTTATTGAGTAGTTCTGCACAAAATAAGCGCAATGAAATGATCTTGATGTTATTAGAAAACTAAGATGCTTTCAACGAGAACAAGATCATTTATCTCATAATTAGATGAATGGTTTGCAAAATATCGTCAATTAATTACAAAGAGAAAATTGATACTGTCTCGAAATTCTTTGTATTTTTAAATTAAAATTCACTCTTATTTAGAAAAGAATAAAGTTACTCAGAGATTATTCGATTACTTGGTAAATATTCATTACAAGTAATAAAAATTTTGTTTATAGCGAACAGTTTATTCAAAACAAATGCGTTAAAGATTGATCAGAAAGTTACATTGAGCTTTCTGCCTGTAAGTACCAAAGTTAAATTAGAAATGCTTTAACATTGCAAAAATTGAACAATTTTAGTACATATACAATTAATTTATTGTCTCTAATTCAATGTCTTAATTCCAAATTAAATGTATCAGAATTTTCATTCAAAAAGAAGAAAGGACAAAGTATCAAAGACAAAGTTATACACAATTGAGGTGTATATGTGCACATACATATAAAACACAACTATATCTTTATATATCTATATTAAATATAATATGCATGCGATAATCAATTAGCGTAATACATCCCATATATTCTAAAACATTTAATAAGAAAGTTAAAGAAGGTTCTCTCTCTATCTCTCTCTTTCTCTCTCTCTCTCGCGCTCGCTCGCTCTCTCTCTCTCTCTCCCCTCCCCCTTCTCTCTTTTTCTCCTCCCCTTCCTCCTCTTTTTCTCCCCCTCTCTCTCTCGCAGGTTATCTCCAAGTTAACATATCGTTAAATTCCATTGTTTTAATGCATCATTATATGATAATTTAACAATGTATTAAGACATGGAAATAACCCGCAAATCGCATAGCTTCTTTGAAGGAAACATCCGTTAAACATTAATCGTAATAAGGAAAATTTCACGTATTAGGCGTGACATCATTATGTGCAATATACGTAAAGAAACTGATTAATATGATGTATACACTTCGTTTGACTTCTTTTATAACATAATATATCGCAATTTCATTCACACAACAAATGGTTATCTATTGTTTTCTTTTTCGGAATAATTAATTTATGTTTCTACGTATTTTTATAAATTTCTACGACGTTAATAACGTTAATGGACTTTCAGCTTCTGTTGATGTTTAATTATGTTTCCTGTTGATGAGCTATTTATTTAATCTCTTTTTTTTCCTTAAACTATCAGGATTGCTCGAAAGTAGGCTGACACAAATAATGCCTTTCTTGTACTTTTAGTCGGATCGCATAGTTATTATAAAGAATTACTTATGAATTTTCAATTTTGTATTAATGTATCATAAGTAATGTGCATATATGCATCAATGTACATTAATCAAATAGAAAATAACAAAAGCTCTAAAAGTAAACAAAAAGAAATAAACATATAGTCAATAAGTAATACACACATACATAACACACACACACGCACACGATACGTCAAACTTAACTAGCAATCTCCGTATGTAATGGTGAGCATCGAGAATGTTGGCGGCAATAAAAAATAAAAATGATATGACATTTTGCGAAAAGAAAATCGTTAATAAAATAAATTTTTTTTAATTTTTGAAGTAAAAGTCCATATTTTATGATGATTAGTGCGAAAAAATGATTTTACCTTGTAGTATATTAAATGCAATTTTTTTGGAGATATAACTCATACTTAAAAAAAAACGGTAAACAAAGGAAGAATAAATTCAAAATCTAAAAGCTCCTTACAGACTTTGTCCTCGAAAATATCAGTGGCATACTTGACTGACATCAGTGATTATTCATTGATTCAGATTTAGAAAATAAAGCGATAAATAATAACATAATGATGAATAACAAGCATCCGTAAAAATAATCGGAGAGTACCAGGAG